CCTCGTAACTCATAAGATGGTACTGGCTATAAATGGCGACCACGGAAATGAATTTGTGCTCGTCTAGAAAATTTGTGGCTTGGGCATCGAGTGTATTCTCACTTCACCGTGATATAATTATTGCATTATGGAATAACAAAAGTTACAGACGTAAACGCGAATACATATGCCACACAAAGTTCTGGCCTCTGTCGGATTCGGAGCCACAACCCAACGCGTAACTGTAGACGGTTGCGACCACTAAGCCCACCGAGCCGGCGAATTTCGCTAAAACCGAGTCGCATAACTGAGCAAATTCCGTTAAAGCCCGAAAAGCTTAGAGCGTTATTGATTACTACGGCGGATTGCAAACTACTCTAGCGGATTATCCGTGCGCGTGCTCCATTATCCTATTGTTTATGTCGCCCTGGTAGTACAGACTGATTGCCGCTTTTAATCACGTATATCCCCTCTCTACAACGATTTCTCTCATCCTCTTGTAATTTATTTATTTATTGGGACATAAAACAGTTATACATTTACAAATAACTGAAACAGAATTTCGATTTATTTTATTAAACTTATAACCAACAGCAATATCCGCAAAATAACAGTAAGTAAAATAAAATAAAAGAGTAAGTAGGTACCTATCCTAATTTGCATATAACGATTTAAGTATTAATGTAACCACTCTTCTAAATTGATTTTGTAAAAGTGAAAACAAATCACAATTTATAAACTAGTAAAGTAATAGTAACGGCCCGATTATTTCTCACTTTTAGTTAAAGGTCTCTGTACAAAGCGTATCCGCAATCCATCACGTAACCCCACTAAGGATAAGCAGGCTTCACATATCTTTGGATATTTTTCAAAGTATTGTTTTTTTTTTTCGCTAATGACGTGATAAGTGAACACTTAAAATTACAACTAACCTGCACCGGGATTCTAACACATACGAGTTTATAAAATTGAAAACGAACACCCCGAAACAGAAATATAACATAAACACGGGGCAAGAGAGACCTAATAGTTTCAAATATTTTTAAATCGCGCTGAATAGCACAGGACATAATTTAATCGGTTGTAGGGCATTGTAGCAGCCTCAGCTGTTGCACGAATGGGCAGGCTCGTCCGGGTAGTAAGTAAGTACCACGACCTCACAGAAAACGGGCGTAAAGTGAAAGTATAATACTTTCGCGTTTCGTCTGGTGAGTGAGGTGGCCGGAACCTAATCTTCAAAAGGTTGTCAACGCATCTGGAACCTTCGGGCGTAGCAGATATCCATGGGTGGCGGTATTCACTTAACATCAGGTGAACCGTCTGCTCGCTTGGCAACTTTTCACATAAAAAAAGCCTACTAAGCAATATCTGGATATGATTTCGTTCATGAAAATGCTTGAACGAGAAACTCATTGGCTTTTAGGCAACTCTGACGTCGACCAGTAAGCTTCCACAGTCTCACATCTGTATACGTCTTAATAATTCTTAGTAGGTGGTCACTTGTGTAAGTGCCATACGGCGCAGCGGTCATCTCTGTATTCTAGGGCGCGGATCCGGATGTCCTCGATGCAAAGATAGGGGACTTGGGTGGTCTCTCAATCACGACCGCAATATGTCCTCATATTGTCACGTAAATTAAAGATTGCCGCTTTAAAAACTCCGCCATATTTTATTTGGACGCTATAAACGATTAAGCAATTAATAATTTGCCTTTACCGCCTGTTTAGGTTTCTTCAGGATGTTTTCTTTCACCACTGAGCGAGTGTCAGAACTTAAAACTAACAATGACAGTGGTGAATTAAAGGCGAGAGCCCGTTCACTGAGCTATCACAGCTCAGTATTTATTATAATGCAACAAATCATTATAAAAAGCGAAATTGAAATCAGCGAAAAAGCTGATATAACTATAACTATGTTCTTTTACAAAAGTGTTCTTTATATGTATGTTATACGTCGGTGTACGCAAAGCACATACTCGTAGATTCGGTCAGATTCGATCGGTCGTCAAAACACCTGCGCGTGGGCGTATGACTCAGGCATTTGTGGCCCCTTTGTCTCCTAACGTCCATAAACGGGCCGCGGGCAATTAAGTCGGCGGGCACAAGTGCGTTTTGCCCAAATCCAAACTGACACGATGTACGACCTTATTCGGCGGCGACTACTGTTTGTGCGTACCAGTTAGGTGTTTGCCCCCTAAACTGGACAGATAGGAGGTTTTAATGTCCACGAGATGCCTTGTTTACGCGGAGATAATGAACGTTTCGGGTGCCCGCTTTCTCTTGTCGCCGGGACCCCTTTTTCGGCGTCCGACGCGGCCGATTTAGATATCATTGTCAGTTTGAGGCCAAACTTTGTGCCTATTTTTTTAATATCTTAATTTCTAATTAATTTATTGTAATACGTTCTAATATCTCTCATATAGAGTGGGTTGTCAATGCATGCAGGTTGGCTCAGGTTCGTGCTCCGTGGGGAGGCAGTGTCCTCTTAACGGGCCGAAATGATGATGATAATACGTTATCACTGTCCTATTACTTTCGGTGGAGTGCAGCGGCTAACATGTGAAAAGTACACACCTATGGTGTGCTGTTTAAAACAGTGGGCCCCGCTTCCTTTACGCACCAAAAGCAACATACCTCCACTTAAAACATTAAAACTTGTAGAAAAAGTACGAAAAGATTGTCGCTGTGGGAATCGAACCAACGTCTTCGGCATTTGCGGCCTGACGCTTTAGCCACTAAGCTAAACGGCTGATTGCCACACCGATGAAAATGGACAAACTGTTAAGGTAGCACAGCGGCGACTTTTTCTATAAGTTTTAATGTTTAATCTTGCAGAGATTGGCAATATAAAAAAATTTAAATACCTCCACTTATTTAGCTACCTTAACTGTTTGTTTACCTATTTAACCTTAGCTTTGGCTCCAAGTTCAAGAGGTATGCGCTGGTTCTTGACTTTTTGGTAACTGATAATGATAAGAACCACTTTAAGAGGTAAATCTGTGGAATTAAAAACTCAATGACCTAAAATGATCCGTAAAGAGGTAGCCTTTGCTACTTGTCGTCAGCGCTGACGTAACCGTTCATACATTGATACTAACATTATGAAATGATTTCGTTAAATAGAATAGTTGAACTTAAATTATCAAAGTTTACAATATTTCGGAGCATTCTTACACGTTGTCAGTGCCGTGATTATAAATGGTTTATTTAACAATAAGGTTCAGTTTTGTGTGTTTGTATATTTGAATAAAATAAGTAATGTTACGTAAAACTCATTTTATTTTTTACAAACAAAAGTTTGTTATCCCTGAACAACGTAGTATTCAATTTATATAATTTGGTTGTATATATTGTTTCATACGTTGCATTATTTGTACATTGTTATCCTTATATATAAAATTCTACTGTACGCGCATATGTCACTGAACTTCTCCTGAACGCCTGGACCGATTTTAGTGAAATTTTTTGAGTGTCATCAGGTCGGTTCGCAAATTGGTTTAGATTCAATTCGGTCCACTACTATTTTTTTTACACTATTTTTCACTATTTTTTTTTTATTTTTAAGTTGTCCAATTTAAGTCGTGTGTACAGGACAACGTCTGTCCGGTACGCTGGTTTGATATAATTTTATGCAATTGTAATTGAAAACTTAAAAATTGAAAACCAGTGCAAAGTTGCGATACGTCAGCCATAGTAGTATTACAGTTTAGTATCGTAGCTTGAGATCCGTAGGTGACCTCACCACGTGATTTCGACATATCGCCATGAATGAACGCTATAAATAAGTAACTGCTGTAATAGATACTGTTTTTAAAAATGTCTTGTGGTCTACAGCGCGAGAGGTAGCGGTTTGTCTACTGGCGTCATAGGCGCCCACTCGCAAATTCTCTACCTCATTAACTATTTGATTTATTCGAAGTGTTGCCATATACGAAAACTAATACGCCCGATGATATGATGACAAATGCCTCGGGACATAAGCCGATGTAAAATGTTTGTTCAATTCGGAAATTATCAATTTGTCCAATTTGCAAATTATGTTGTTATCGCGTGCTCTCGGCATATTAACAAGTGTAGTCTTCGATGCTAATCTCAACGATTGGTTAGGCTCGCATTAAGTAGCGAGTTAGCGGGCAGTATCAATCATAATATTTTACTACGCCGGAAGAGTTTAGGAAAGAAGTACCGTTAGGAAAGGAGTTTTTTCTAACTAGTTGACTAGAACCGCTTCAGTTGTTGCACGACTAGGTCAGCTCAAGAAATGAGGTACAGTAACAGTTGAGAAAATTTAATAATAGAGTTCACGAAGAGTCACCTGATGTCATTGGATTTGATTACCTTTTCCTCCAGAAACTGCTTCTCATACATTTGTCCTTTCATTGTCTTACTTTATGCCATTTTACATCAATTCGTTCGTTAATAAAAGTATGTGAACTTTTTTTAATGGGAGAAGGTGCTTATCGAGCTGGCTGTTCACCTATATAACCGCCGCCCATGGACATTTGCAACACCCGTGGGGTCGCAAATGCATTGCCACGTTTAAATAAAGTGCTCCGGCTACCTCACTCACCAGACAAAACGCAGTAGTGTAATTACTTCCACTTCACGCCGGTCTTCTGCGAGGTCGTGGTGCTCTCCGGCCGGACCTGCCCATTTTTGCAACAGTGAAGACTGTTGTGTGGCCTCACTATAGGTAAAACGGTTGTGATAGCTGTAAAGTCAGTCACACAATCTTAATGTTGCCACCAACCGTGAGTTTTCATTCTTTCGGGTATCACACTCAGTTTTATCGTCTCACATTTATGTTTCAGTATACGACAAGGCTAGTGGAGGACAGACACGTGGAGCCATATGAATTTGCCGAAGCTTGTCGCTTGAAGCTCACGCTCTCTAGCTATAGAGATAGCTGCTCCTTAGCTGTAAAAAAGACAGTCTCACACTTGATAGATACAGAGGCTATAAGTGTCAAGTGCGAGACTGCCTTTTTGTTCGGCCATCGCTCCCGCCGTAAGCATTCAACTCATGCCCACTGATAATGACCGGGAACAATTAACAGTTGGAGCCCGGGCGATGCCGTCGACCGCGCATCCTGCGAATGCGACGGAAATAGACGAGCGTGGTGAGAAAAAAAAAGGCATACGAAATGCACAATGGCCCCTTCCGCGCAGACACCGCTTCCGCCTCGGTTCGATGACATTCGGGAAAACATTAGAAATGCGCGCCCTATGCCGAATTACGTTTTAACGACTGGTGTGGCGTCTGTAGGGTGTCCCTGCGGCGGCTACGATGTGGGACTGGTGCGGGCTGTAACAAGGAAATATTTCATTGGATAAAAGGATATTTGGAATACACGAAAGGACTTTGAATTTGTGTGCTGTAATGATGAATCTTGAATGACCTTTGGCGTCATGAGTACACATCATAAGCAATGCGATAATGTTCCAAACGTGTTTCGTTTTCTTGCAAAATTTATTTTGCTTATCTGAGAGAATTGTTTGTTAAAATTTATTCTTTTAATAATTACCGAAAAAGGGAATTTTTAAGTGAAATAGAACTCTGATTATATTCGCTTTTCTGTACTGGATTATTGAAGAGGCCTTTAAAGTTTGCCTTACTTAAGTTTAGATCTAATTGTAGTATGCAACGTGATGAGAGAGTGGTGTAGTATGATTGGTGTAAAGTTTTGATTGCATTTAATATTGTTGTATTAGGACGAACGTGGCAGTCTTAGTTTCCAAAGCAAGCGTATGTAGTTATAGCTTAATTTTTCTGAACCGATTCCTAGCGCTCGTTACCAACTACATCTGTTTCTGATCCTCTAGCTTTGATGATGAGGGAGATTTTATTTTAATTATGGAGTATAAAAAGTAAAAAATATTTAAAAAAAAATATTGTTTACAAACCAACTCAAAGCTAACCAAAAGGCAAACTTAATGCTAATAAGCATTCTATTCCAGTCAACCCCGGGAGAAGTGACAGGAGATGTCCTGATTTATTCATTTATTCACGGTCACACTATCCGCCGCCGAATCTGGCGGAAATGACCGAACGTGCGGCTTGCGGTCCGCTTCCGATCTGCGTGCCCACGTGTTCCAGGTAACAATGGCCTTTTCCGCGTGCGGGATACGCCCGTCTTTGAACCCGGGCCCCGCGCGGAAACCGGGATGAGGTCATCGCGAGCACTTCCGCTTTTTTTGCCAACTGCAGAACTGACGGATTCTCCGAGTGAACTACGATAGGGATGGGAGTAGTTTTGGCGGTAATATTTTGACTGTAGTGGTCGCCTTGTTTAAAGTTGAATGTGTTGAAATAGAAGATCACTCTTCTAGAACACAACGGCTTTAGCATGAGAGTATAAACTTTTTTTTCCGTGGAAAAAATCTTTTATGGATCCCCTGCCACTTGTAGGGGGGAGGGGGTGGCAGGGGTATGTGGGAGACCCAATAAGAGTGGGTATCCACTAAAAAAACCACGTTGCACCTGTCTCTGTCGCATCGGCCGGGGACACGGGAACACGTTGACGCAATCTTCCGCGACCCCGGCGCGACTACAGCCTCTTTAGGCCTCCTCTACTACATAGTGCTGTGCCGGTGATGAGAGTATAACCTGCCAACGGCAGAACTGACGGGACAGGAGAAGTTTCGGTGCTATTTTGTCTGTTGTTGGCGCCATGTTTACTATAAATGTTTTAAAATGGAATCATCAAGCTTAAAGGACATAACGCCCAAAGCACAAGATACACCTTCTAATGTGCTTTTTTCTTCTATGTAAATGGGAATCCCTTGTTTGTGTGTATTCGTGTATTTTCTTGTGTGAGAAGGTGGCAAGCGAGCTGGCGGTTCACCTGATGTTTTTTATTTTTTTTTATGTGAAAAGTTGCCAAACAAGCAGATGTTTCACCTGATAGTAAGTGAATACCGCCGCCCATGGACATCCTGCTACACCCGAGGATTACAGATGCGTTGACAACCTTATGAAAATTGGGCTCCGGCTACCTCACTCACCAGACGAAACGCGAAAGTATTTGTCATACTTCCACTTTACGCTGGTCTTCTGTGAGGTCGTGGTACTTACCCGGATGGGCCTGCCCATTCGTGCCTGTTGCACTGAGGCTGCTGCGTGGCCTTCTGTGAGGTCGCGTTTATTCCCTGGACAGATCTGCCCAATCGTGCAACCCTAGAACATAGCTATGACATTATTAGAAAGAACATAATTGAAAATAAGATGAAAATATGGAGAAATTGAAGCACAGCATATATGTCCGGTGGAGGTCAAGGTTCATGTATGATGAGGCAAAAGTGTCATTTATTCGTCGAAGTGTCGATAAGTTTACGCCCACGTATGACTCTAATAAAGAGAAATGCGTCTTTCCTTTTTGTTCTTTATTTACCATTTTCACAACTTAAGATTAGATTTGACAATTACTCAATTATTAAGTATTGAGTTTAGAACATTAACTAGATTTTCCAATGTTTTTTATTTACCTATCTTACGTTCCAAGAATAGTCTTAGGCGCAGAAGCACTATAGGTTTATCTGTAAGACATTTTTGTGCGTTTCTATTATAACCGATTACATTGGCAATGATGTAAGATAAAATCTAATTCGAGAGAAAAAAACACGATGCGTTTTCGACGGGACGAGGAGTATTATTTATAATTATTTGCATTCGCTCCTACAACGGCTACCAGCGTTGCAATTTGAATACAATATAAGAGCGACTTCCTCGCGACAGCTGTTGAGAGAAGTCCCAAAAAGCTCATAAGCTCCCACGCCACGTAGGCGCCGCGCTCGCTACGAACCTAATTGCTACGGTGCAGAACGCATAGATAATTCAGTGACCCGCTTTGTTATAACGTTGTCCTAAATTATGATTTTCAAGGGATGTTTAACGTACACAAATTGAACACAAACAAGAACCAGATCTAGAAGGGTTGTCTAGAGGTCATAATAGTCCCGTTCGGAACCGCAAAACCGATGCTGTAACTAAATTAATCCTTAGCCAGTACCTTAGAAAATTGCCGGTTCTGTTTTTTAAAGACAATCATTGTCTTAATTTTCGCCTGAAAGGTTAAAAAGGCTCTGTAACCTAAACAGCTTTATGATTTTTATCATGGTTACAGTAAGTGCGTCCTAGTTGTGAGTATCACTGACTATAATGTTTATTATTATTATTAAAATGGTTTTGCGTCTTTAAAATTATTTTTTAAACGTTGTTCTTACTCTATATTGGGTATAAATGCTATAACAAAACGATTACATCAAAAGTTCAGAACATTTGCTTCACATGACAACATTTTGTCAAGTAAATTTGTAAGTAGTAAATGTCATTTTTAATAAACCACTAAATATAATTCACAAGCTCCAATGTCCAAGTGCTTGGGGATCCCTCGATCAATGACGGTTGTATTTTGTATGATTTCTTACACGGCAATATTTTGTCTTGGCTTTATAATTGTGGCATAAAGTGGATACAATTATCTATCGCTACATTTATCTGAACGATGCGGATGTCTGTATGTGTGTGTAATTCTTATAAACAGTCGAACTGTATTGACTGAGAGACAATCAAAGGAAACCGCGGAAGTATCTAGTGTTGGTAGAGTGCAGGCTAGCATTGATGACGCAACATATACGTGAGCTTCATAGCAATCGATCTGAGGTACGCGTTGCAGCGTTGTGATCGGTTCGCAATATTTTTTTTAAGAACCAAAAGTATCAAGCGAGCTGACGATTCACATAGTAAAATAAAGTAACAGCCTATACATATTCCTCTGCTGGACAAAGGCCTAATCTTTTACAGAGGGTATCAGAGAATAGTCCACCAGGCGGCCCTCGATTGGCGTACTTCACATATCTTCGAAATATTTTTTTTTATTTAAATATATTGCTTCATCATTGTAATGTGTATAGTTGTAGCTTGTAATTGTAACTACGAGCTATATATATATCTAATTAAGCGTAAAGAGATTTGATTGCAGTGAACACATATTGTGAGCATCAAATAATTGCCTAATGAACTGAAGCGTTCTTGCAAATGTGCTTATAAAGCTTTATTTATGTTGTTCTCGTATATTTCATTTTATTCTTATCCGTATGTACTTTAGTTGATCAAAAAGGAACTGTACCACAGTGCAAAGAGTATTTGGGTTCGTAGTACGAATATAATCTGTAGACTTCAGAAGTCGATATTGTGTGGAAGAATACAGTTCTGTCTTTTTCCCAAACTTATTTCCGCTCTCATTCAATCAATCAATCAAATATCTTTATTCAAATAGACGCTTGCGCGTTCTTATGAATCGTCAAATTTTACCATTCCCAAAGAATCTATGAAATTTGGTTCCGAATCGTTTATCTTTAGTTGTTATAACTATGCACATGAAACAAGTCTAGGGCCGGACGTGAACCAACACGACAAAAAGTGTTCGGGTTCTGGCGCCCTTGACGAACTTTACCTCTCTCCTGGTGTCTTAGGTCTAACATGGAGTGGGTCGGTATTGAAATGTAATTAATAAAAGAATAAATACTTTTTTAATTAACATTAAAGACAATCATCAATAACCATCACAATAGTTCGTGGCGCAGTTGTCAAGGTATAGCTTAAGCGCCGTGGTCGTGGGTTCGATTCCGACACGGGACAACTATGTGTGTAACACGTAATTGTTTCGGATCTGGGTGTTCATCCACGTGAAATTTATGTATGTGAAATAACACAGGATAATATTATCATATAGAAATGTTTCTGTCCAAAAAATCTGGAACCAACTGAGTCAACTTAAATTAAAAAAATTCATAATAACCACCATAATTGAGTAGTGCTGTTATAATGTGAAACAATACGTTGAAGACCCAGGCGGAGAGAAATGATTGCATTGGAAATTTTTGACGTCATCAGAGCCTGAAACAAGCCTAAGCCTTGGTTTCTTGTTCTAGCTTGAATATCGTGACCCCTCCCCTCTTCAACTTTTTTTTTTTTTTTTTTTATGGAGAAAAGTTTTTTAGGGGCAAACGAGCAGGAGGCTCACCTGATGGTAAGTGATTACCGCCGCCCATGAACACCTGCATTACCCGAGGGCTCACAAACTTGTGTGTTGCCTGCAGCTTTTCGGGTGTGATTGAACTCGGTAAAAGCGATATTTGGCGGGCGATAATCCGCGACGTGACTTCCGATGGCGGCCATTCGCACCGGAAGTTGATACGACTGTTCATGTTTGGAATATTGATCCAGTTTTTTTCATCAAACGAAGTTAACTCGCTGCTAGTTAGATGTCCTTTTGGAGCGGCGGAATTTCTCGTATGAATGAAAAGACGCGGATAGCTGTGTTTACGGATACCGTTCTATCACTTTGTTGGCAGTTTCCATTAGCCTTTTAGGGAGTTCGAAATCTTGGATTTGATCTTTTTTTTTTGTGTACTCGTGTTTTTGTAATAGCCAGATCTTTGTTTCGAGCTGCCAAGTTCCTCGTGTTTGATCACATTATTAAGCCTAATCTGAATAAGGCGAAGCGTCCGCTAAACGGCTGGATCGTGGGTTCGAATCCCGTTAATCGTCTCATTATGGTTGGCCATTGTTTAAAAATGAACCTCCGTTGTTTATTCCGGTGGTTATGATTCCAGATTTATATGGAAGGCTTAACCTTTAATGTGTTTATCCGATCGCTTTGTGTTATTTATTTTCCGAGCCCGTCTTCACACCCTTTTCATATCATTTACGTAGGCTGTGTATAATGTAGTGACGTAATTGTTGAAGAATTTTCAATTATGAAATGAAACATTGTTACAAATTAAAATACGCCTTCAATCCCAAAGTGAGTTACTGTTATTAATCGTTTCTTTGCTTGTCAACCGAAATATTTGTTTTTGAAAGTTGCGAACCGTAGTAACTTTTCAGATTCAATTATCTCCCCAATTATCTCTACTAGGAAAAATAAGACATAAACCATATTCAATTGATAAAAAGAATTTAATTTCGATTAATTATTTGTCATTAGTATTTCTTCTACTCATTTTGTAATAGATATAATTGTTGCCATAATCTAACGCACTGTGGACAAACATGGCGAATGGCAGCCATTTTGAACGCGTTTCCGGTTTGATG